AGGACGGAGCGTCCCTGACAGCGGCCCCCGGGTCGCCTCCCCGCGCTCTCCCGGTGACACCGAGAGCTGTCCTACGCCCTCGCCTGCGGGGCCGTTTTTTTGTTGTTGCAGCGGTGCCTTGCTGGTTTTGCCAACTCTCCCCCCGCCAAATCCTTTCTGCCGTGTTGATGGTACGGCTGTGTCCGTGTGTGCCCGTACTGCCCGCGATGTGTCCGGTTCCCCCCGGCCGCCAGCCCTGTCTCCGCTTGTCGGGGCGCTCACCGGCCGCTCCCCGCCTCTTCCCCCGCAGTGTGCCGTCCAGGTGAAGCTGGAGCTGGGACACCGAGCCCAGGTCAGGAAGAAACCCACCGTGGAGGGCTTCACCCACGACTGGATGGTGTTTGTCAGAGGGCCTGAGCACAGCAACATTCAGCACTTTGTGGAGAAAGTCATCTTTCACCTGCACGAGAGCTTCCCCAGGCCGAAAAGAGGTAGTGGGGTCTCCCCTGGGATGAGCGCTTGGAGGCGGCCCGGAGCGGGCGCAGGCGGTGGGTCTCTGCCGGTCTCGGTGGAGAACAAAAGCGGCCGCCAGTGCGGTGGTGGGCTGCTGGGGCTCTCTCCCGCCGCTTGTAGGGATGTCTGGGGTCGGGAGGGGCTCCTCTCTGCCCTTTCACGCACTTGCTGCCGCGGGGATGTTCACTCGCCGTTGCCTGTGGTCGTAGAGCTTGGTCCGGCCGTGGGTCTGGGTCCCGACTCCTTCTAGACTCTCGGTGGCGGGTGGCACGGAGTTAGCTTCTGTCCCAGCGTAGGTCCTCACTGGCGATTTTTGCCCACGTGTTACTTTCTTCTGGCTGGTGGTGTTCTCTCCCGATGTCCTTTATGACTGGAATGCCTGTACACGTGTTGCTGTTGCAGTTTTGGTACTTGTGTTTGGATTCCCTCAACACCCTGCTTGTCCATCTCCAGGGCTTCATCCTTTCGTGAGTACATAAAAAAAGTCTCATAAGGTGTGTATGTGTGGTGCATTTGTACCCATGCAGATTTGGCTGGGAGAAGTGTAAGAAGCCTTCTCTTTTCAGATCTATTTCATGAGCTGTTGCTAGTCCTGATTATTGTAGTGGGATTGGTTGAGGTAATAGTACAAATAAAAGACGTGAGCAGGTTTATTTATCTATACAGGCACAATGCTTAGAGTTATCTTTCATTTGATCGGCAGTCTTTTTTGGCATCTGGTGCTTCTCCAGTTCCTTAGAACAACATAGTCCTAAATCCTGTCTGCTTGGAGTTTGGGGGGATAAATTGAATGTTTGTGGAGGAAAAGATAGGAAAATTTTGAGTGTTGAAATAAAAAAGCTTTGCTTTGTGGCTGATAAAACCATGTAGTTTGATTTAACATTTCTCAGTTGGAAATACCAAGCTGTGACATTTTTTTATGTCAATGGCTGTGTTTTCTCTAGAACAATCTCCTTCCCTTAAGCATCAGAGTGTAAGACTTGCAGTATTTCAGCTCCAGAGTTTATCTTCTGAAGCAGAGGCTATTAATTCCCTTTTATTTTACTACCGTCAGTGTACTTCTTGGGTCTATTTAAATGTGTGCCGTACTATACAAACAGTTTTCAGTGAATTGTGTGAGATGCTTCAGTATTACTGTTGGATTAAATTGCTCAGCTTGTCCTGGCAAGTCTTCCTCTTGCTTTCTTCTATTTCTTGTGCAAAAAACATGACTTTAAGTCAATCTAAATAGTTTGGAAGTAAAACTCCTGAGAACAGGTCTAGATAGCCTAAATAGCTGAGATAGTATTATTCATATTCAGTGAATTAGATGATGTATTGTATGAAATCAGTAGTAGAAAGTGTGCTTAATGCTTGAAGACAGGTCTGCATAGGAGTTGTTGGTGGTCCTCTCTGCTTTTATTGTTTCTGCTATATTTGTTTACTTGCTGTCTGGCCTCAGGGAATGTGAGTCTGTTGTTTGAATTTGGTTGCTAGGTGTGATGTGGAGCTTGCTAATAAGAATATAGTTCAGGACTTTTGCAAGTGAGGGATACATAATTTGCTACTTGTTTTGTGTCTCCAGCTACTGAGTTCAGTTATGCAGTCATTTAAGTCATTTTTTTCAAAGTGTTTATTTCGGAGTTTTGTTTGTATGCGTCATTTTCATGATGTGGAAACTGCTGGGAAGGATGCTCTTCTATATAGCTTGTGGAAGGATTTGTTGTACAGTGTTTGTACCTGCCTTGGATTGTAGTAGAACTCTGCAGCCACTCTCATTCAGCAGATTATAACTTGGCTGGCAGGCATTCTATTCACTTCTGTGCTTTGCTTAGCCTCCTGCAGCTGTTGATGCTGAAGAAATTTCAGATCCTTGAAATCACATTGGGGGAATGATCCGTGCATGAATTACCTGGAATATTTTTTGCTGTTGTAGTGTTTAAAAGGGTGGTGGAAATGTGTGCCTTGTAAATGGGAGCAGTTTGTCTTTCCAATTTAGAAGTACTGTTAACATTTTTTACTGAAGTATTCTAAGGTGTTTTTTTGATTCTTTTGTAAATCACTGCTACCAGTTTGGTTTGATTCCTCAAGTGTTGCATATTTAGTAGAAATGATACGCATGTTTGTAGTGTTAGTCAAACTGCCTGTTTTCCATTGCTTTGTCTGCAGTTATATAGTTCATTATTTTAGCATAGGATAACTTACCGCTTGGAGATATTTGCTAATTTCACAAACTTTTCCTGAGCCATGAGGGTTTTTAGCATGCTGAAATTAGGTGTATAAGACTAATCAGAAGCAAGTGCTAGAATACTGGCTAGTCATAATAACAGCTAGTTGTCTGATAAGTTTTATCTCTGCATTTCTGATAAGAGTGGCTGCTCTAAGATGTATGCCTGCTAGGAAAAAATTTAGTTCATTAGGTCAATCTGTAAAGCTCAAGGATCAATTTGAAAATGATAACAAGCTAAGATAGGTGTTATTAACTCATAAAGTACTTCTGTTGCTAGATCACTTTTAATTAGGGACGCAGCAATTCCAGCTACCAGGGGAGGCAAGAGAGATAAATTATTGCCAGGTCATTTGCTTTGCAAATTTGTGAGAATAGCTGGATAAACTGTCAGTTTGCCAGCTACAGCTATGGCTTTGCTTATCTGTTTATGCTAGAAATTTTGGAAATAATAGATGTTGGCAGTGAGTTTGCAAAGGTGTGTCCAAGTGTTTGTTCTGCTAATAGTTGGTACAGAGCAAGCAGGGTCCTGTATCCCAAAGTTGCGTTAGTTTTAAGGTGGCAGGATTACTGGAGTGATGTTCAGTCACTGGAGTGCAGAGCAGGTTGGTTTGTGTGTGTTGGCAGGATGGAAGGGTGATGTTGACTAATAGGGGCCAAAGTGTAGATAAGTTCGAGTGACCTAATAAAATAGTATTCTTCATCTTTCAGTCTGCGTCACCTTAAAATCCTGAGCTTGGCGGTGGTTTTATTGCTTTCTGTTTGCCTTATGATGACTGAGTGCCTAAGTTTATCCTTGCATGGTGGAGCATACAGGAGTGTGCAGTGATTTGTCCTCTTTACTTTATCCTATTCAATGGCCTGCTGCTGCTGTCTGATTTCCATGAGTAGTTTCAAGGCGGGACGGGGGTGGAGGGATGGCAACAGGACTACTAGTCACTTTAGAGACAGTAGTCATGCCCAGACTCAATTTATGGTAGTATTTGCAAGACAAAAGCTTGTAGGATTGTCATGCAATCACAAATTGCATATCTTGCTTACTGATGTAAATTGGTTGAGAGAATATATTAAGAATTTTTAAGATTCTACCTTTATTTCAAAGCATGTGCTGCTTATCTTTCATCATTCCTGTGAAGAAAATAGTCCTGTGTGTAGAGGTGAAGTATTTTAAAGCATGTCTGTGAAACAAGGTGTGTCACCAGATTGTGGTTAGTTTTGATCCCCTGCTATACTGACTCCAAAAGAGGAGCTGTTGTTCTTGCATCATAATATGTCTCATTAACTGTATGGATGCTAGCCAATGTAGAAGCATTTTCTTCTTCTTGCCCAAAAAATGCTGATGCTCTTCAACAGTTGTCTGACTTAGTCTTTCTCTTACAGTATTCCAGTTGGCTAAGGAAATAGATCTTTTGTGTTTTGATGACTCGTAAGCACACCTCAAAAATGGCATTGGAGCTAGCATGTTCTTAGTGGTTAGATTTCTGTTAATCAGTGTTACATTTTGACAAACTAAATTTTTCTTATTAGAAAAAAAAAGTCTGGGCAGTATTTCTGGGCTAATAGCTTAGACAATGTGAAAACGTTGATTTTGTTGCTGTAGTGTTGTAACTTTAAAAGTGAGAGATACTGCTTTTCTTTGTGGAGCTGGGAGCAATGCTGCTTAGTGCATGTCTTAGTGCAGTAAGTTTTACAATGATATGGCAAAGTGGTGGAAGTAAAGCTGCTTGGTATTCTAGTACAGGAAGGACCAACTGCAGTTGTCTCTGGAAAGTTCACATTTCCAGCATTGGTTGTTTTCATTAAGGTTCTTTTAGTGCAGAATGAGATTTTAGTGAATCATAACAGTTTGAAATATACTTAGTTACTGTGAAAGATGCCATTTGCTATTCTTGCTTAATTATTTTTTCTTTTCATGATTTTTAACTGTAAAAAACATATTTTTTTTAGCTCCATTTAAAGTCAATGAGAGTTTTAACTCTATTAATTTTAGTGAACTCGATGGTGTGAGGGTAGGGACTCATAAGCAGATTCTTCCTAGATAATTCGTTTTCCACTCCTACTAGCTAGTGCAGGCAGACCATCAAGATTACTAAACAGGCAGACACTTTTATGCAGTGTATTTTATATGAATATTTAGCTACACTTGTAAGAACTTAGATCTGTGTTAGGTGTGTTTTCTTTGCTTTTTTTTCATGTTCAATTTGTCTGAGCCTAACCATCTAAGTATGATAGGCACACAGGAGTTTCTTTTTCATCAGTCTAACAGATACAGATTTGATGCTGCATCTTTTGGAGCAGTTGTTGCTCTTAGTTGCAGAATGGTCTGAAGAATCATTGAAGAACTTCATTTGTTTAACAGGAAACACTTGAGACTCAATTTTGCTACTACTGAATATGAAGGCGAATGGCTTCAAGAGTACACATGTGGTTTTATAGGTGCACTTTCTAATTTAGCCAGATGCAAATCAAAAGGGCATTTCACAGACTTAAAGTGTAAAGGATTTCAGTATAGGGAAGCTATCATGTTTTATATTTACATGAGTGACATCAGTAAATAACTGGTGGTTTTGATTTTACGATACTATATGTACAGGAAACTTGGTTTCTAATAAATAATTTTCCCTCAATGGTATGACTCAAAAAATACATTCAAAGCCACTTAGGCTTTATTTAAAGTACTTAGGCTTTATTTAGAAGTAAAGAGTTTGAAAAAACTGAGAAATAATAGGGTTGCTGCATCCTGAGTGTCAAAAACTTTTCTAGTCTATTTGC